TCCCTTGGAGGTTCCCCAAATGCGAGGAAGGGATAGCAAGTCCGAGGTACCGGCGACGACAGAGGTAGAGGACCAAGGATTGACGTCTCGGCTGGACAGTTTTACGGCGTGCACCGTTTCCTCTACATCGAAGGAGGAGGTTTACCCACCTAGGTCGCCGCACCGACGTTGTCCCAACAAATCTCCCCGTTTTGAAGGGGTAACAGTAGACGACAATGGTAGAGGAAGGGGGTGACGGTACATGCGGAAGGGGGGTCGATGGTGTCTGCGGCGGATTCGAAATCCGGAGATTGGGGGAAAATAGGGCAACGGATTGAGGGCTTCAGAAATCGATGAAGGTTGGAGGACTAAACCCGGTTTCGAATCAAGGATACAGGAGAACCACGTGATTGCAGTGTAGAAAAGCTGAGAAAGAACAAAGCTTGCAACGGGAAGTGCAGGAATCTGCACTGTAGATGTGCAGAAAAATAACTCAAGTGGCAGGGGGAAGGTGAACTCAAAAACCGGGTAATAACTCGAAAAAATTTTTGAGTTCCATTTCGAGTTTTTCTTCTCCGAACATGAACTTGGGCTTGGAATCATAACTCGAGTGGGCTTTCTCGAGTAAACCGGGTAAACCGAACAACCCTTAAAATTTCCCAGTTTCGTTTAAAAAAAAAAAAATCACGTGCCTCCTTTATTTTTATTTTGGCCTTTTTAACCCCTTTTAACTTCTTAGAGCAGAAACAAAAATAGAACTTCGCGGTAGCTTTTCCTTCAAAATCACAATCAAAAACAAATTTTGTAAAAAATTGAAATTTAAGAGCCAAAACCTATAAATTAAAAGTTGAAACGAACCCCTCCTTAGTGAAAGCAAGAGGGAGGAGGAAAAATGCCATTGGGAAAGTATTACTGCGACTACTGTGACAAGCAATTCCAAGACACCCCTTTCGCCAGAAAACGCCACCTTCAAGGTCTTCAACACCTCCGAGCCAAAGCTCTCTGGTACGACTCCTTCAAGGGTATGTTATATCCCTCTCTACTTTTTCTATATTCCTTTTATATTATGCTTTCTTTGCTCTTTCTGCGTTTTTTTTTTCCTCAGCAACCAAACAACACTCTTCCCTCTTTTGCAGATCCCAATCAGGCTTATACTGACGGCTTCGGAAAAGGTGTTTGCAATCGCTTCGTTAATACTGTAATAAATCTCTCTCCTTTCTTCACTCTTTAATCGCGTTTTTTTTTTCGATTGCCCATGTTGTTTTAATGCCTTCTGTATACTGGGTTTGAGTCAGAATCTGCATTTTCTTTGATTGCCACCGAGAAATTTTGTTACTTGTAACTTTTTTCCCGGTTTGTAGGGGTTTTGCCAATATGGGGATTCTTGCAGATATTTTCATCCTAAGAACAACTTGCAGAATTTGAATTACCAAGGGATGTCAGGTAAAAATTAAAAACTACTTTGAAGTAGTGTCCATTGGTTTGCTTGGCTAAGAGCATCTGGAATTCAATACTATAATTGATGTGTCAATTGCAAATTTAGCATTTGAGTGTAAAAAATACTTTCTAATATAATGCTATTTATTGTGTTAAATTTTTCATATGCCATGCTTTGTAATAAATTTCCCACCAAGTATAGCATATGGAAACTTTGGCATTTGATTACTATTTGTTGAAATGTTCACTTTTTCATGTCATTATTGCAACTTTTGCATTTTTTAATTATTTTAAAAATAAAAATTTACTTTTACAACTTTCAAAACTTAATGATTATAGAAAAAAATAGATTAACATTTCAAATAACATTATGCATTAGAGCAAAAATTAAAATAACCCGTCCCGTCATATTTTTTACTGTTAAATATACAATTGGCATTGACATTTGCTTTAGAGATGGTCCGATGGAATTTTATGTTCAATTTTTGAAGTAGGGGTGGAGAAGAAAGTGTGGTAGTATTTAAGCTTGGTTGGATATGTTGGGACAGGTTTGGTAGACATTAATCAGTCACAGGTTTTTCAAGGGAACCAATTTGTTGGAAGCAACTCTGCGCCGGGTAAGTTTAAGTTGCTATGTAATAAGTGCCCCAATCTTTTACTAGCAAGAGGGGCAATCAAGCACATACACAAGATTTTTAATAGTTCACTCTGGATGTGAGAGCTACATATAAATGCAGATCACACATCTCTCGCATTTCAGACTCATTGAACTTCTCTTTAATCTTGTATACAAAACCGGTACCCCCGAATATGTATTTAATTAAAGAAATCAAAATACATGTGAAACTGCAATATGCTCCTACTGAAACACAAATTACATATTAAGTTCTTAGACTAGGGGACTTGGTTGATTGGAGTTATTGTTATATGGTATGAAAACTCACATTTGAGGTCATGTCTTTTCAAATGCTTAGTTCCCTGCCATATAATTATATAAACATGCTAAGATCGCGGCTTGTTTTTCAACGAGTCAAAAATTATCATGTAAAATTGTGTGGTTCCTGTGACATCATCTATGGATATTGTCGAATTAGGAAATTTAAATTATGATAACTTCCGGTTATTGTTATCTAGTTAGGTTGATTATTTGTTTTTTAAATAAAGAGATAAGGAGATATCCAAAATCTCTATTTGATTTAGTTTGTGTCTATCTCTTAAGTTAAGGGATTTATCTATTGCTAGAATTATGGGATTCAATGACAGAATTATTGTCATGCTTACCTATAAATCCTAGTAGTCTTTTATCAATCGTTGAATAAGAAAAAATATTTTTTTCCTCTTCAAAAACTACATGCTATCAGAGCTTAGGGTTTCTTTCTACAGTAGACCCTAATGGCTAAAACGGACGGCCATGGCCGGAGCAAGCAAGACGTCGTCTTCCTCGAGAGTCACATCAGAGAGTGTGCAGTCCGAAACCACTGTCACAAACAGTAGTACTAATCTTTCCACATCAAATTACTATTCACAAATTGAATGGTAAGAATTACCTGGAGTGGGCTTAGTTCGTAAAGCTTGCAATTGATGGCAGAGGCAAACTTAGGCACCTGACTAGAGAAGTGAGCAAACCAATAGCGGACGACCCTAACCTGAAAACATGGCGATCGGAGAATTCACTGATAATTGCGTGGCTCATCAACTCAATGGAGCCAGCAATTGGGAAACCGCATATGGTTTTACCTACTTCTAAAGATGTATGGGAAGCTGTGCGTGATATGTACTCGAATCTAGAGAACTCTTCACAAATCTTCGATTTAAAATCGAAGCTGTGGTGATCAAGACAAGGAGATCGGGATGTTACAACATACTACAATGAGATGGTGACATTATGGCAAGAGTTAGATTTGTGCTATAAAGATGAATGGGACTGCCCAACTGATAGTGTGCGACACAAAAAAGAGAGAAAAATGATCGAGTTTTTATGTTTCTAGCAGGACTTAATCAGGACTTGGATGAGGTAAGAGGAAGGGTCCTGGGCAGAAAGCCTTTACCATCCATCAGAGAAGTATTCTCGGAAGTTAGGAGGGAGGAGGCTAGGCAAAAGGTGATGTTGACAAAAGAACCAAAGCCCAACCTGGAAGTAGAAAGCTCGGCTCTGACCTCTAGAGGACTTGATTCGGATGGAGAAAAGAAGGAAAAACTATGGTGTGATCACTGCAGAAAATCATGGCATACAAAAGAGATATGCTGGAAACTCCATGGCAAGCCCCAGAATTTTAAAAAGAAGAATGAAGGTGATGGCAAGGCAT